AAAGGGAAATACTAAGTGATTACGGTGGAAAATTTGACAATATTGCATTTAATAATTTTTATAACGAAAATGGATATGAACATAATTTCTACCCTCCTAAAAGGAATTAACAAAATGGTACATTGCAAGAAAGAAGAATCGTATATTGCAAAAAATGGCTACAACTATATTTAATGAAAATAGCCTACCAAAATATTTCTGGGCCGAAGTCGTTAATACTGCATGCAACATTGTAAATAGAGTTCTTGTTAGTCAAAAGAAAAAAACTCCATATGAGTATTGGAAAAATAGAGTTCCAAATATCGGTTATTTCAAAATATTTGGTTGCAAATATTTCATTTTGATTACAAAAGAAAATTTGGAAAAATTTGATTCAAAATCCGATATTGAAATATTTCTAGGATATTTATCGATTACCAAAGCTTATAGAGTCTTTAACAAAACAAGTCTAGTTTGAGTGTCATATCAAACAGTTGTAGAATTATTGATGTCACTTTTGGATTATCCAATCCTAATTTCTTGTAGATAAATAGTAGCATCAAATTACTTGCTCCAAAATCATTATTGCTCTTTTTCTCCTCTCAAAACACTTATGCATATATTTTTTAGGTCAAAAGAAAGTCTCCCCCCGTGTTTTGGTCAAATTTGGTATATATAGGATGCCCAAAATCTTGTTACCAAAGTAGACTTTCAGTTGGAAAAGAAAGAAAATCTCGTCAAAAGTTTGTACTATGCGGTAAAAGTTTGTACTATGCTACCGCATAGTACATTTATAAGCGGTCGCATAGAAGGACGTCCAACCATCAATTTTGGCCCTGGAATACATAATGTGGTCTCATCAAATTAGACCTATGCGGCGTTCTTTTTTCAGCGGACAACTTTCAGTAATTTAGTCATATATTTCTCTCCCGATATCCGATTGTGGTGATTTAACATGCATTGGAACGCTATTTCAAAGGGTTACAAATCGTCCAGAAATATAATTTTTCCAATTCGAACATTTAATATGCCAAAAATGGGTCTCAAATTGAGATTGAAAATCCGAAGCATAACTTTTTTGGCTGGAAGTTGATATGTGATAGTACTTGGACTATATTTCATCCATTTAGCTTCTTTCCTCGTCAAATTAATGCCTAACACTCTCAAATCTTAATTTTGAGGTTCGACGTAACTTTTGAGTATTTGCATTTCAGTCCTCGAACTTTGTATTTGCTCAATTGAGCCCTTTTGTGCTATCTTTGCATTCGTTTTTCCAATTCTTCATCAAACATTGAGTTTTACCTACAAAATAAAATATAGCACAAGTTAGGTAGTATTTTATCTAAATAACAGTAAAATATCATCATTTAGGAACTCGAATAAGTGTAAAAACTACATTTACCAGACATATAAGTAATATACATTATCACCGCTTGCTTTCCATTTATTTATAAATAAATTGTGTATGAATTATTCCCAAATAGAGATTAAGTTTAGAGTTATGAAATATTTCTATATGGGGGATTATATTGTCACCACAAATTTTATTTGATACGCCACATTTTAATTGCAGTCAAACTCTTCAATCTTTGTTCATTGTAATAATTAGTTCCTTAATTTTTTTCCCATCGAATTCTTGTATTCAACATTTCATCAATATTAACGCTTCATCCTTAATGATGATTTATATTAAAATATTTTATTTTTATGCTTTGAAATGAGGGGAAAATATATTTTACATTTTTTATTTATTTATTTTTTAAAAATATGATCAGAAAATAAGTTGTTTTACATTATTTCAATGGATTTTTAGACATTAAATTGTTATCAAATAAAAAATGTGTTAACTAATGAAAAGTTTGAGGAAAATAATGATATGAAAAATTGTTAGGGATATAAGTGTTATAATGAGCAAAGATTAAGAACCTTAAATATAATTAAAATGTCAAATAAAAAATGTGTTAACTAATGAAAAGTTTGAGGAAAATAATGATATGAAAAATTGTTAGGGATATAAGTGTTATAATGAGCAAAGATTAAGAACCATAAATATAATTAAAATGTCATACAAGATAATTAAAAAATAAGTGTTATAATTAGCAAAGATTAAGAACCTTAAATATAATTAAAATGTGGTGCAAGAAATAAAATTTGTGGTGTGAATATAATTCTTTCTATATTACACCCATTTTGTAATCAAATGGTGGTCATATTCACACCAATTTTTTTATAAATACACCACATTTTAATTATATTAAAGGTCATTAACCTTTATTTATTAGACACTTGTATCCTTAACTTTTTTTTCTTCAAATTCTTATTTTTGACTTTTCATTGATAAGATAATCTTGTCCTTAATCATGATTTTCATTCAAATATATTGTTAATGTGCTTTAAAATGAAGTCAAGTTTAATCGTATTGTTGCTTTATTATTTGTTTTGCTTATTTAAAAATACAATGTGTAAATGTAGTTTGAGACATAAATATGATAATGTGTAAATGTTATGAACCTTTCATTCGATTAAAATGTAGTTTAGTTATTAAAAATTGTTGCATGAATATATTTAGCCTACTGAAAATACAAAATCGTTTTAAAAAATCTAGCATTTTAGTTTTTTCTTTTCTCCTTCACAAAATCATCTGATTCCACGAAGTATCAAATATGGTGTTAGTAACAAGTGACAGTAAACAAATGGTGTTCATGTTCACTCAATTCTTATCCCCTAGGACTCGCTCCAAAGTACACCAAATTATTATGCATAAGTTTGGCAAAGCTTTTTAGTGTTTATAAGTTGTGGATCCTATGGAACTTTAGGTAGTAAATTGTCGGTCACAAGAAATTTATGAAAAAAAAAAAATGTTTAACCAACTTAAAAAATAAAAAATAAAACCACGCCATTAATTACAAATATCAACATCGACCTCAATCCACACCAAAATCCACCCTGCTTGTGTCAAATGGATACTTGACAATGGTTCGAGTTGAACCAAAAAAGAACCAGCCCTAGCTTTTGTCAACAAAAAACACTTAAGAAATTACATAATTCAAAAGGATCATTTTAAGGTAATAGTAATAAGAGCATTAAGCCATATTTATGTATTAATCCAATCTAGTATAATATAATTTATTGTTGGGAAGCAAATCTATACGGTACATTGATGATTTCACCACCTTTGAAGAAGTTTTGCATTAGTTGCGTTTTGCTTCGGTCCGAGCTGCTTCATCCCTTCACCCCATATCACTCCACAGGCATTTAGGCACACGTACATATGTACACACTTATAGACATTTTTTATTTGTATTTATGGAAAATCCGACCATCAAATCCAATCTTCTGTGGGGTTAGGATACCCCTATATAGAACTAATAAACTAAAGTAATAAAGCCTTTTTAGCTTAATTTTTGCAGCTTGTTATCAATTACAATTGATCATCTCAAAAATTATAAATCTTTTTTGACATTGAAATTGACTGGTCTTAACCATGTTGACATTTCCAAAAATTTATTGGTCTTCTTATGTAGAACAAATGATATAATAGATTGAAAAAAATTTGGACGGAAAAGGAGAAAAGTAACATTGCGGGTGTGACAATTGAGTTCTAATTTGGGCCTATAATATCATTTCAAAGAGAGAACGACGAGACAAGTAGAACTCTCATTTTCTGTGACATACGATGGATTTTGGCCATCCGAGTTAGTTGAGGAATCGAAAACTATATTTAAAGTTTTAGTGCTATTTTTGTTATTTATTTTATTTTGAATTATGTTCAATCTTAATTTGTTTAAACTAGAATTTCGTGTAAGTACTTACATCAATAAAATTAGTTGGTTTATTTTTTTTAATAAGTTGGTGGATTTCAAATTTCGTATTCTTAAGTTTTTCGCTCGACTTCCTTGTTTTCGTTGCATTCTCTTAACCATGTTGACATTTCCATTTGCCTCGCTCGAATTCCTTGTTTTCGTTGCATTATCTTAACCATGTTGACATTTCCATTTGCCACGTACGCTTCACGATCAAATAACTCAACAAAACCAATGAAGTTATCTATGGAGACTTGATTGACATGATTATGTAAGTTTGTTGCCCTGTCTGAATTTCCATTGGGAAAATTAGTTGGAATTTTACTTACTTTAGATGGCTTGGCCACCAACAAGAAGTTGATAGCCATTATTCTCATGGGCCACAACCACAACTAATTCTGTTATCTTGTCTGTACTCAAACTTGCATTACTTCCAAACGAGACATACACGATTGATTCGGTCTCTTTAGATTCATGACATTTCATGCAGGAGTCTGTGTTCGGCTTATGTATGTTGAAACCATACTCGTCATTGTCTTCAATCCAGACTAAATGGAAGCCAAATTCGGTCCTATAGACGAATTGTTATCAATTGTTGCAGCCTAATATGTTGCAACTTCGGGGGGGGGGGGGGGGGGGGAG